TAATATATGCATAACGTATTCATGCAAACAAATAAAACGACCATTCTCACGTAGATGTGTTCTCAGGCTAATTTGCGTCACGCTTTTTATTTATAAGTTGGAGGCTACATTACATAGGAATTATGAAAAAATACAAAAGAATATACCTTTGCCTCATAAATTTCTCATAATACTTTAAGAGTTTAAAAAAAAGCAAACAATTTTTTTTTGGGTGTGACGTAAATTAGAGTCAGTTACTTAAATTAGTTTCAAGAGCAGAGAACAGTTAAACCAATTTTGTTAAAAATTGCCTTTAAAGTGGCCAAAATGTAATCGTTTACTTATTAATTACAAATAAGAAAAATAACATACATGACATTTAAAACAATTATTTATTTAACCTATTTATATTAAAGTATTAATAAAGAAGACTAATATTGGCTATCTGCTTCCATCGTAACTGTTACAAGCATGATAATAACATTTTAACATTATTTAAGCGGAAAAATAAAACACTTAAGATTTATTTAATGAGATCGACTTTGCATTTTTTAGCAATTGATATTTTCGTATATATATAAAAATAAATACTCGAAAAAACTTACAAACTATAAATGTTTCGCAGTCTTTATTAATGCAGATTCGAGTTTTAGGTGAGCATGTGGCAAGGCAGGAGGGTTTTTTTTTGTTAATGATCGTAGACTATTGCAGTTGGTGATAAGGCTCAATGACATCATTTTGGCCAAAGAACTTTAACTTTACTTTTTTCTAGTATCTTTAGCGACTTTTTTTCTTTATATGCCTGGAAAAGTGCAGAATGATTTTTTTATTTTTCTCTTCTCCACGCTGCCTGTCTTATTGCTGCTCCAAAATGCATGTAATGTAATGTATATAATATGGTTGTTCGTGTTTACCATGCTAAAAAAATTTAGTAGATATATATATTTTTATGTATTGGTATTGGTTGTGGGCTCTGTTTTTCGCATTTAGACTCAAGATGGTCTTCTATGCGTCGAGGACAGGTTGGCTAGGTGAGCCAACCAAGCTCCTTCCAGAAGCGCAGAAGCCTCCTGGGGCGTTCACGGGCTTCTAGAATCACGTTGGCGTTTCTTCTCCATTTAGACATCCTCTGCAAAGAGGACTGTCCGTCGCATTAATCATGAATAGTTGTCGGTTCAGGGCGGGGTGTCCTGTTATGGTTCCTACAACTATTCGGATATCTAGACTGATCAGTGACTCGAATTGATCAGTCTGCAAGTAAGTCGTGGTGAGACTTCAGTCAGACTGGAAATTTGGACAGTCTGCAGTAGGGTGAGTTTTTCCAACTTCGGTTGTGCACTTCACAAGTACGCTGTCTAACCCAGGATCGAAGTTGGTTCAAAGGCAGTGGCAGCAGTATGGTTGGGCAACCCCGGCCACCCGGCTCCTTGCTAACTGATCTTCGGCGTCGTTCCCGTGTGAACTACTATGCCCTTTAATCCATTGGAGTAGTACCCCATTTACTGTGGCAATCTGCTCCAATACTTGATGGCATTCGAAGACAATACCAGAGGTCATTGTGTTGCCCTCTAGTGCCTTTGGGACGGCTATGCTGTCTGACAGTATTCGGATGTTATAGTCCTTAATGTCCCTTGACATGGCCGTTGTGTAAGTTATTGCCACAGATTCGCATTGGAATATGGAACTGTGTTGGCCTAACGCTAGTGATATATTCATATTTAGGTCTTGCGAGAAATCTCCGGCTCCAGTTCCTGACCTAGTCTTGGAACCGTCCGTGTAAATTCGGACTTCGTTAATGCCGGATTGATTTCTTTCTTGTATCTGAATCTCGTCGGTCGTTTCTTGTATCTGAATCTGGTATCTTTTTGTAAAGATATGGTGTTTTGGAATCCTATCGCATGGGACTGCTATTCGTAGTTCGTATTCCAGTAATTTGGAGTACAGTTTGGAGTGCGATCCCTCATCTTTATGCCATAGATGTCCGAGTCTGATGATCGCCTGCTATATGAACAAATCCAGTGGGGGCAAATCAAGAGCCACCTCCAGTGCAGCAGATTGTAATTGGAATTACTGGAATTGCTGCAATTTGTTTATGGCGGTGCTTAGCTCTGGTCTCTGCCACCAGACAATAGCACTGTAAGTGATTATTAGTCTTATGACTGTCCTGTAGAGTCATAGTGTAAACTTTGGTGATAGTCCCCAGCTTTAGCCGAGTAGCCGTTTGCATTGGCAAAAGACAATGCAGGCTTTGTTTGTTTTTTCATCTAGGTATATTTGACCTCTTAAGAGCTAGTTGCAAATAGCTAGGGAATTCTGAGATTTCCTAGACTACGTTTTTTTGTGAAAATAATCATCTCTGTTTTCGATGGGTTCACTGTCAAGTTGTGTATCACACATCACTGTGCAATGATCTTCAGTGCAAGTCTCATTTGATAGAGGCATTTGACCACTGATAAGGATAGTCAGAACGTCTGCATAGCCTATTGTAAGGAATCTAGGTCATTGAATTATGCGATGAGTTCATCCACAACTATGTTCCATAAAGGGGGACAGAGTACACTCTCTGGGGCATCCTCTAGCCACCACCCCTCTAGTCACTTCGCTCGCAGTAAATTGTATAGCTCTATATTTTAGCATGCCGTCGATCCACCCTAAGATTGTGGAATCAACACCATGTCTAGACAGAGCTTGGCTAATGCTGGCGAAATTGGTGTTGACAAAAGCACCCTCGATATCAATGAAAGTGGCCAGTGTTGACCTTTTCTGTTTTAGATTGCCTTATTATGTGTATGTGATACAACTCGGTGTAGAGCAGATTCTGTTAATTTTCCCATCGAGTATGCGTGTTGGTTGTCGTGTAAGGGGTGACTGACTAACGCAGTGCTCCTAATTTCCCTATTTATTAGCCTCTCGAGAACCTTTAACTGGAAGGACGTGAGACTGATAGGAGGGTGTGATTTGGGTTGTGTGTAATCACCTTTATCAGTTTTGGGGATGAAGACTACTTTAATTTCTCTCCATTTCTAGGGGATATAATGGTGCGCCATGCAGTCTCTGTAAATTTTTACAAGGTGATCCAGTAGTATCAGATCACACCATCTCAGCAGGCCTGGGAAGATACCCTCTAGTCCTGGCGCATTAAATGGCAGGAAGCTGTTAATTGCCCATCTAAGTTTATCACGGTTGTCAACTTTGACAAGGGCCGTATCCATGTCTATATCGTCTGGTGTTTCTTCATCTGTTATGCGACATTCGGGAAACAATAACAGCTCTGAGGCTTCCGAGTCTGTTTTGGTATACTCACCATCAGGCTTCTTCAGTGAGCCAAGATTGTGTTCGTCTCTGCCACAATATGTTTTTGACTCTGTTGGCCTGGTTGTTGTTTTCTATGTTGGTACAGAAGCTTCTCCAGCATTCGGTTTTCCTTCGCTTCTTATATTGTTGCCGGGCCTGCCCGATTGCCCATTTTCCCGATGCTAGACTTTTGTCTGCGCCTCGGGGTAGCGCGTCACTGGCGGTATTTTTATATACTATACAAGCATCAAAGGCTATCTAAACAGGCTGGCGACTGTCCAAACAGTCTAAGCGTGTCGAACATTCTTACAATTTTTCAGGCCAAGGCGTAATATAAAATGTTATAATAATAATATGAAGTTTAGTTATCAGTACTTTGATCAAATACAAAAGTTATGCATTCGCAAAATAATTATGTTTTTCAACATTCTAAATCTGCTATTACTTACTACAAAACAATTTTAATTTAACGAAATGAATAATCTGAATTTTTATAAAAATATAATAAACCCTACACATTTTTGATTTACACATTTAAGTGTAAATCAAAAATGTGTGTCCTCAACCCCAATAACCCGCATTCCTGTACACATCAGTCATATTAATTTTCTATTCCATTTCTATCTAGCTGCATAAGCTTAAGAGCAGCGCTGTGACTATGGCGGGAGGTGTTAGCGGGGTCCAGGCACTGGCCGACCCGAGCCAAGTTTTGGTTGGCCAACCATGCATCATAAGTAGCATCGTATTGTCGGGCCTAGCGACTTCGATGGCCTTCTCAGGCGAGAAGGCCATTTCCGAGTAAATAACTGTGAAATTTGACTAGAAACTTTAATAATAATGAAATAAAAATTGACTAAAAAATATGTTTTGATAACGCGAAATGATAAAAAACATGAATAGGAAATCGTTAGTGATTAAGTGATTAGATATGAAATCTAGCGTAATGCAATGCAATAGTTTACAATACCTTCATACGTTTCCCTATGTATAGGTACCGGCAAACATCTTGAACAATTATGAGAATATCCTTAAATGCGCAGACACGCAGTTTAGGTCTCTTTGGTTTTGCGGTGCGGGGCGCGACGGCGGGAACCGTCGTTTCGATCGTGCCATTGGTAGATTAGTCGATCCTCGCCTCTCCCGCTTTGTCCGCGGCCCGTTGACTTCTATGTACACTCGAGTGCATTGTTCCGTTGTTATTATTGTTGGGTTTTTATTTGTATTAAAATTTGTTGTTATAAAATATATACAGTATGTCACGAACAATACGCTACACTGAACCTTTGCCTAGCACCAGTTCTGCTTCTGCTGGTTTCATCAAAGCTCATCGAAAGAATATCTTGCTTACCTCAAAAGTAAAATCTAACATTAAGAAAATGTAGTTATCAAACTAAAAGCGATTATCTCCGATATAGTAGCCTAAAAATAGTTTATCGTCATTTTTAACAACAAATGTTTATTTTTACTTTATTTAATAGATTAAGTAGATTTAGATATTAAATAAAGTAATTAAATACCTATGTTTTTTTACGCAGTCAAAGAAATATAAAACATACAAAAAAAAAAAGAGAGTTGTTCAATTACATTAATTAATATATTTTGGTACTATTTTTTTGCTCGCGCAAACTTTCCCCTACTACGTCTCCTATTGTTCAAGTTGTTTGCCGACAATTATAACTGATTAATTATTATCTGTACTCATATTCTCCAGTATAGCTAAGTTAGCGATGGAAGTGTGTCGTTTACAAGTTGTTGCCTCTCGGGCCACAATACGCTGCAGACGAATTATAAATGTAAGTACCTACGCACATTATCATTTATTACAATTTTGAATGACATTTTGTTAATTATACGAATATATTTAAACCCATCATATAATGCGATAAATAATATGTAATATTAAATAAAATACAATGTAATAACATACATTATGTTGTTCTGTATCTGGGTGTAAATTATCTACAATATGCACATCTTTAGAAACACATAAAGTACCTACATTTATTAGCAGTATGGTTCCTGGTGGCAAATTATAATTACTATCTGCAATGGCAAATTATTAAATTTGACAATATTGATTTCTTTAGTTACATTTAATCAAAACACAGCTCATTCGTGAAAGTCCTTCTTGTATATTTTCATCAGTTAATTGTCTATTTCTAAAGTAATAACAATAATACACTAAGACAAAACTAGGCTGATCAGTACTTCCATATTATACTCGTAATACGAGTATAAAGTTGAAAGTGAGCTTGTTTGTTTGTTAAGCTTTCACGCCTAAACCACTAAACCGATTTAAAAAATTTAATGAAAAGCTTCATTCACATCGTCATTACATCAACAGCTTTTAATAGTCCACTGCCGGATAGGCCTCCTTGGAAAGGAGGTTTTGGCAGACGGTGCTGTTGTCCTGCGTAGTTTGCTACCTTAGTCGACTCTTACTCTTACGACACCCGCGGAATGAATAGGGGTGGTGACACTCTGTATTTTGCATCCATCACCTGACGGAAAACTACATTATTAGCGAGTAACATAGGGTACTTTTTACCGCGATAATAGACATACACGCGGTCGGAGCCGCTGGCAAAAGCTAGTATATTATATAGTTATGGATAGAGGCGTTAGTTTTTACATTCATAATACAAGTCTGCAAGTATAAATGTATAATTAATTTAATTTAATAGATTTTATAGATCAATGGACAGATCGTTTTATGGAACTTAACTAGTTACATCATTTAGCAGAGTTCCCGCCCTCTATTACAATGCGTGCCAATGACGTTTGTGAGGTTGGACCGCGGTGTACACATGCAAAGTATCACTACGAACATGCAGTATTTAAGCAACGACAGCATTAAACTCAAGGTGGATCCTAACACTATGAAGTGAGTACGAATCATATTTCTATTGTTAAAAACATTTAAAGTAAAGTTATAAGAAATTGTAATAATTATTTCATATTTCATGGATAAAAACTCAGATTAAATAAAAAAGTTAAGGTGGTACTTTGTGAACAAAGAAGTGAGGCCAATTCAAATTACGCCTTGACAGTAAAAAATTTCAACAATATTTACAAGTGAAAATGCCGGATTGTGTCGTGAAACGGTATAAAGATCGATATTAGAATGAAATCGCATTTCACACATAAGAAAGCGTGGAAACCAATATTTTCAAAAAATGATTTTTTATATATTTATAACTTAAAACAATATAACGGGATTTCAAACCGGCCGAATACTAGATCTTGTTTTAACAAACAATGACGTCGTCGTTTCAGACTGTGATGAGCCCTTAGTCACTATGGACCCCCATCACAATGCTATCACTATTAATGTGAATTTTGTTCAATATCCCATGTTAACGACTGCACCGTATACCAAATACTTTTTTCAAAGTGTAATTATGATAAAATTAATGAAGAAGTTGCTAATATTAATTGGATTGACATATTTAGTAACATAAGTGTGGAATTTGCAGTGAATTGCTTTTACTCGTTTTTAAATCAAATGATTATTAAGCATGTCCCGTCAAAAATTTATAAATATGACAATTATCTGGTTTGGTTTACCGAATTCCATTAAATTTTTTAATTCTTCAGAAAGTATAAAACCTATGGTAACCTTTCAGACAAGATTAGTTATCAATTACTGAGAGTAAGAGTTAAAAATTTTAAACCGGAATGCTATGATAATTATATTGATTCTGTTGAAAACTCTATGAAAAAAATCCCAAACAATTTAGAGGAATTTGTGTAATCTAGATTAAATTCGTCAAATATCCCGAGTACCTACTTTTTGAGTTATAATAATAATTTCGCTAGTGATGGTAGAACATCTGTACTCTATTTTCGAATTACTTTCAATTAACATTTCTGGATTCACACACATTTCTGGAACAATCTTTGGACACACAAAATGTTGAAGCTGATTACAGCAAATGTTTTGACCGGATCGACCACTGCACCTTAATAGACTAGCTGGGTTCAATCGGAATAAGAGAAGCATTGAGAAGAGAAGAGTCTGTTGAGTTGAATTACCTCATATATATCTAACAGGTCACAAGCGGTAGCATCAATGACTACATTTCCAGCTGGATTTTTACAATCTTTGTAAACGACATTGATATTTTTTTTTTATGTTAGAGGGGGCAGACGAGCAGACGGCACTTTCCATCAGGTGACGATGAAAAGTGAGCATCAAGGCCTATGAACGCCTGCAACTCATTAAATAAATACGTGTGCTTTATAAGTTCTAAATATATATTATAAGAAATAATATGACCTTGTCTACTTTGTTGACGTTAATTGACAATGACGTCTCCCAGGTAGAATTCTTTCACTTGTTTCTTGAAGGAGGCAAGTGTTTGTGCACGTCTAATTGCAACCGGTAGGGTGTTTCACAGCCTGAGTGCCACCACTGCGATGGCCAGACCGTGGACACGGCTCTCCACACGCTGGCAGAGTGCACGGCGTGGGTTGAGCAGAGGCGAGACCTCGTGGCGGCCATCGGAGTGGAAGTTCTCTCGCTCGATAGCCTGATTGCGGCTATCGTGCGGAGCGAGAGTACGTGGAACTCTGCCGTCTCCTTCTGCGAGCAAATTATGCTCGCGAAGGAGACGGCGGAGCGGGACCGGGAGAAGTTTAGAACTCTAAGCCCGGGAACGGGCTAGGTACCGCAGGCGACTCAGGCGCCGGAGGTCGCAGAACGATCTCCGTCCTTCATAAGCGCAGGCCTGGGGGTGACAGGTGAGGCCATCTGTCACCCTAGCAGAAGCAGGCCGGGGTGGCGGCGAGCACGTTGCGAAGCGCGCTTGCTTTAAGGGAGCAGAGGGAACACAGGGTTCCCACACGGGGGGGGGGTCGTCTACTCGTCTGTAGATGGCCCGAGGTATGTCGGGGCACCAGGGACTTCCTTTCTAGGGTATACCTGGTTCCCCGGCTATTAGTACCCGAGACGGCGTGCGGTTTTTTTTTCCCAGCAATCAATAGAGGTCGACCAGAAAGAGGTAGAGGGAATCTATTATCCATCTCTCTCGTTGCCTATATCGCAATTGCCTTGCCTGTGCCTTGTTCACTCGATACTTATATCTTTATGACTACAACGCAAACAGTTCGGTTCAGTTGATTGTTGGTAGCAATGCTAACCTTTTTTTTTTTTTTTTCACGCGGGGATTGCTTTTCGCACCATACCCTCCGTTGGGGAAACGTTGGGCGTGTGTGACTCCCGGAGAACCGGTCTACCCACTAAACCCCGCGGCGGCCTACCTCGGCAGTCGGGAGGAGCTCCAGGAACGCATCGGCGACTTCTGGAGTCCTCCCTGCCGTACCTCATGTCTGAGGCACATCCCGGAGTGATCGAAGTCAACCCTGGGGCAGGATGCTACCGCGCCACTCACTGTTCTACAGAGTAAAAGGCCAACAGCATCCCGCCTTAGACGACAGCCCCCGGCCGCACCGGAGTGTCATCTGTCTCGGGTCGTTTACAGGGCGGTCACATCGCCCAAGATGTGGCCGCAGCGACCCTTAGGCGGCGATTGGGGAGTTAGCGACCTCTGCCACGTCCCCTTCGCCGCCTCCTTCGAGCGGGATCGACCCTCTCCCGATCCCGCTCTGCGGTCTCCTTTTGGAGCATAACGTCCTCGCAGAAGGAGACCGCGGCTGCCCATCCCTCGCCACTGCAATGCCAACCTACCGTTTCATTTCTAAAAGATAGTAGAGATTGGTTCAACTACTATAACGCAATCATAGGCACTTGTCGGATGAATATTGGACATACATGCTGTTAGCTGGATATTCTGCAAACTAGACACTGCGCCCGCTGGACATTTTGAGAACAGGACATTCTGCGACTAGTAGTAGATCGAATCTACTAAAACAGTGTACAATGGGTATATTACTTTAGTACTAACTAAATGAGAACTACAAGCCCAAAACATGAAGTTACTACATTCTTACAGTATTACTATACATTTTGCGTTAAAATATTTGCTAAATATCAAGATTGTGCACTTATGAGATTTGCAAAGAAGAGTATATAAAAGCTACCTTATCATGAGTAACGTAAGGGATGTATCTCATTATCTGTGTGTTCAGGCTTCATATTTATATCTGAATGTAACAAAAAGAGGAGACTAAAAGACTGTGTGAACTGAATTACATTTTGGGCGAGGTATGGTAACGTGAGTCACCAATATTTCTATACTTGGGATACTTGTCTACATTTGGCAACTAACAAGGACTTGGCTTAATTCGTTGTTTTGAGTCAATTATCTTATCTATATATATATATAAAAATGATTTCTCAAAATAGGGTAGTTTCCACTGGTTAAAACAATTAGTTTTACAATCCTCCAGACAAATATGTATGACATGAGACTCGTAACTGTTTTCAAGTTTCTCATTATTTTTAAAGTGAAACTTCTTTAGCACCGTTGTGATTTGAAAATTCGATGAAACGAAAAAGCGACAGTAAAAAAAGACAAACATGTTCATAAATAGAGATAAATTACAAGGATACGTTGTGTTCTGTAATATTCGTCTCCTCTACGCTATCATGTGTCTTTGCGCCTGCGTAGAACGAAGCCTACAGAAAATTTGTCATAAACAACGTGGTGCATCATTGACGTGTTTTATTTTTTTGGATTTGCGTAGTAAATATTATTTATTTGTGTAAATTATCTAAAAATAGATTTATTAACATTAGTAAATTATTTATATACATTAGTATTTTTTTTAAAATATTATTTATTTATAATATTTTTACAGAGTAAAGATTTTTATCTTTTTATTTAATAAAATAACTTTTTCTGAAGGTTTACTTCTGCCGTGTGTGAATTGCACACACACACTTTATTTTATTTTAAGTGTTTAATAAAATGTAGGATTATATTTTACGTAGGTACCTACTGTATTGACGTGTAATGAGATGAACTGATTTGACTCAAAAGTTTAATACTATTTTATTAAAGATTATAATGTGTTTGGACTATCCACTAAATCGAACTTTTTATTTTTTAGACTCGACCAAAATATAAAGAAGCCGTTATGCCTTATGATGATCTACATGACGGCTAAACCAAAACATGTGCTGAAATACGCAGATTTGTACCTGACGAAAGACTTTGACGTGATATCTGTTTCTTGCACGCCTACGCAGCTAATGTGGCCCGCCATGGGATCACAGGTAGTTAAGAACATTTACTGTACTATAGGCAAGATTGTCACTTATCTATAGCCACTTTTAGTAAGGCTTTGAAAGGTTTTCCTTTCGGTTCTGGATGAAATTTAATGAAAACTGAAGGTTGCTGTTGCCCACATAATAACCCATTAAAAAGTGAGAATGGACGAGGTCGGGAAGATACTTTTTTATTGCAATTTAAATTTTAAAACTGTTCTTTTTTCAGTTATCTAAGAGATATGGATCTCTGAAATTAAGCTGTAAAAGGTTAAATGCAAAAATTGTTCAATTGATAATTTTACGTAGGAATTATTTTAAGGTCGGAATAATTTTTTTTCTATCGAAAACATGCGGCATAGTTGTAAAAAGCAAAAAACAAAATGATAATAAATAAGAATGAGGGAAGAAATTTTTTTTATCTATACTAATATTATAAAGCTGAAGAGTTTGTTTGTTTGAACGCGCTAATCTCAGGAATTACTGGTCCGATTTGAAAAATTCTTTCAGTGTTAGATAGCCCATTTATCGAGGAAGGCTATAGGCTATTTATCATCACGCTAAGACCAATAGGAGCGGAGCACCAATGAAGAATGTTTCAAAAACGGAGAAAATTTATTCCTATTGAGAGACGCAGACGAAGTTGCGCGGGTCAGCTAGTCGTTAATATTTGGGTATTAGATAGGTATTAGTATTGTTAACAAAACCCGGGCCGCTTTTTCATTAGCAATTAGGATTTACAGCGTTCTAAACTTTCAAATTAACAATTTAGCAATAGGTCTCCAGTGACCTTCAGTTTTCGCCAGATGTACCTAACTAAATTCAATCCAGAATAGAAAAAAGACGTTTTCGAACTTGTGACACTACGACTATTTATGATTATTTCTCTATAACATAAACTTATTTTCGCCTCTATATCGCCAATCAGCGATGTGTGACGTTCACAGAACGTTGACTGTTAAAGCGTGCATTAACAAATATTTTATTCTCGCACATTTTACGAAATTTATTAAATTATTAAAATTTCTTTAATAATTTATTTAAAATAGCTATTTCATTTTCATTTGATAGTGTTTTTAAGTCCGTAGCAGTTATTTGCATATACTTATTACAAAATTTATTCTTTTCTTTACATTCAGGTGATAGCGGATCGATTGCTGTCGTTTCTGGAATCGAACAGCTCGGAGTTTACGCACCCATTGGTAGTACACGGTTTTTCGATCGGCGCTTACCTGTGGGCTGAACTACTAGTTCAAACACCAAGAAACAAGAAACGGTACACCTTTAGACTTAAACTCACCGGAACTACGTCGGAATATGATATCGAAGCTTTGATACTTTAGTTGTGTATCTAATCTTACACAGACAGATTAGTTTCATTGCTAAAACAATTTTCTTCTTAGCAACACTAATATTTGTATATGTATTTTGTGTAGCTTACTACTGATCAAATGATAATTTAAAGTAGGGGGAGGAGGCTGCACGCCTTCATCGCGGCGGTAAGACCCGTTATGAAGGATTGGCTCGAGAGGCGTCACAGGACCCTCTCATACCGACTGACGCAGGTGATCACTGGGAAAGGATGTTTCGGGGATCACCTGTGTCTGATCCGCAAGGAGCCAACGCCTGAGTGCCACCACTGCGATGGCCAGACCGTGGACACGGCTCTCCACAATCTCTCTATCGTGCGGAGCGAGAGTGCGTGGAACTCTGCCGTCTCCTTCTGCGAGCAAGTTATGCTCGCGAAGGAGACGGCGGAGCGGGACCGGGAGAGGGTTTAGAACTCTCCCGGCCCGCCAGGCCCGAGAACGGGCCAGGTACCGCAGGCGACTCAGACGCCGGAGGTCGCAGAATGACCTGCGTCCTCCATAAGCGAAGGCCTGGGGCTGATAGGTGAGGCCATCTGTCACGCGCTCGCTTCCAGGGAGCAGAGGGAACATGGGGTTCCCACACGGGGGGGTCGTCTTCTCGTCTGTAGACGGCCCGAGGTATGTCGGGGCACCAGGGAATTCCTTTCTAGGGTATACCTGGTTCCCCGGCTATTAGTACCCGAGACGGCGTGCGGTTTTAGTCGGTTCGAGTCCGACATGCCACCGATAGGTGGTATCCGAGGGGATTTCCGCACGGAAAAAAAAAGGGGGAGTAGGGGTCAGGCCCGGTACAGTTTTGAAATATACTGTGTTGTTGACATACACTTGTGACAGAAATTTAAATATTTAGTTTTGATTTGGAAACTTTGTTCCAGAACTGTTATATATGAACCCAGATATGAACCCAGAATTTAAAATTTACATTTAAAGATTATTTTTACTGTTTAACTTTAATAGATTTCATAAATAAAGAACGAGTTTTAGTAAATTCTACACCGACAATCCCAAATTGTTCTCAGATATCAACCAATTCTGGAACGCATAGCCGCACAAATATGGGACTCACCTGCTGATGTAGACGAGGTCCCTATTGGAGCTCCTCTTGCCGTATTCCCTAATAACAAGTTCCTACAAAATATATTCAGACTCTACATCAGGTATGCACCTAATTACATTTTATAAAGCAGTCTTTTTGATAACAAGAAGTTCATTTTAGAACTTTAAAATAAGCGTTAACTATTAAAAACCTAGTAACCCGTGGTGGTGAGGTATACAATGTCGAGAGAGGTGTTGCTGCATACAATGTCCAGAGGGCGTGGAGGTGTACATGGTCCACGGAAGGAACTGGTGGATGGTGCAAGTTTGATGAAACACCCACTAAAAGCACGAATGCTTTGTCCCCAGAATCATGTTAGTGTTATCAACTCGTTCTTATTTGAAATAAGTTAAAATAGCAACAAAATAAAACAATGTGCAATACTTAAACGAAATTTACAGAAATATTTAAATAGTTTAAACTAACTAAATACTTACATAAATATATAAATACATAAGTAACTGTTATTTTTAGTTTATTATTTCAGAATTATATACTTAAGTCAGATTTATATACAGAGTATTTTATAATTTCACTTTACTGGGAACAATGATAGAAATGTATTAAGTAAAGGTTTGTAGATTTATATTTAAAAATAATTAATAAAGTTCTAATTTATATCTCTACTACACGCTCGCAATATAAATACTTTTTTTTACGTGTGGAACCCCCTCGGGCCGTGACCCCTCGGGGATGCGGCGGGGCGGTGTGTTGGAATCGAACCGAATAAAACCTCACGGTGTGCTACTTTGCGCCTGAAATAGGAGAGGTCCGGAAACAGCTATTATCACGACATCCGGATCCGGATGCAAAAGCACCACCATCTTCGGTAAAACTCTCTATTAAGACGACGTTCGGCACACGCGGACGTCGTCTCCTCGCGGCTGGCCATTGTAGCGAATGCAGAGGAAAATCCGTCCCGTCCGCCCCCAGCCACACTAAGGGCGGTATGAGGTGCTGGAATGCGCACCTCCGCCGCCCGGTTCGCCGGCGGCGAATTGGGTCCGAGTGAAGGTCGAGATGAGGTCTTCGCAGAAGGATGCTACCGCGGTAAAATAAATATCTTGCTAATGGCCATCATACGCTCCATGGTCGGTAGCGAGAGATCCTCTCCAATGACTGCAATAAGGACCCGACGCTGCGATGCCCAAGCCGGGCAAGTTGCCAGCGTATGCAGAGGCGATTCCTCACTGGAATCGCAGTGGTGACAGGCGGGACTCAATTACCTCCTAGCGAGCGAGTGCAGATACTTAGCGAAACAGCCGTGCCCGAAAAGGACCTGCGTCAGTCGAAAGGAAAGGGTACCGAGATGCCGCCCTGCCCAATCGGCGATGACCGGCTGAAGAGCCTCCTGTCACTACCCGCCCGGAACTCAGCCGTCCGCCGATGTACTTCGGCGAGCACTTCCGCCTCCAAATCCCACAGGGAAGTTTCGGCCAACGCGGTCTCCATCGACACGGTGCGTCGCAAAATAAGCACCTACTTCAAGTAAATGTCACGAGCGACATTGTCATAATTGTGACTAAGCTCCGTAAATAGAGATTTAAAAATAGTTCAAAAGTAAAAATCCAAATTGATATATAATTTTAGTTCTTAATCAATCTGGGGTCTAATAAGAAAATCTGGATGAGGAGGAGTAATTTAGTCAACTCGGTATGAACCTGAAAACTAAGAGCCATGTGTTTACCAAACAAAACAGGGAGTCTCGGTAATAACGTTAGGTAGTAGTTGATTTATGAAAGCAATTCTGCGAGTGGATTATCGCACAGCCCCCTGCCAATATTTTGTGGACAGACGAGGCCCTGTTTACTCATGTGGGTTGTTACAACCAACATAACGAACATTGGTGGTCATATCACAACCCACACGTCGTTAGACAAGATCTAGACTACATTTTGAATCTAGATATTTAGAAGACTACATTTTGAACATTTATTAAAATATATGTAAAACAGTATTTGTAAGTTAACCTCTAATTGCTTTTTTTATTAATTGTTGTACATATCAGGAAAGATTTATGTATTTTTTACTTATTTCAAACGTGCCCTTTAATTAAGTGAAGTATTAAGCGAATATATATTAAGCGCGCCTATCGATTGCAGTGTGTCTACAAATTGCGAGTTCTTGAGACAACTTTGTGATTGCTAATTACTCAATATTTTTGTACCATTTCATACTAAACTAAAATGCGGGTTTCTCATAAATTTTACTAAAGATTCTTCCGTGTTAATATGGACGGTAAATTTAAAGTCACCTGTACCTATAATAGATAAGTAGGTAAATTATAGTCAGCCTTTCGCAATGCATTTGTAAATGTCTATATTGTGTCTATAAAAATAGACAATTATTGATATTGCCATTGTTAATGGACTTAAAATCCTTGAGGAGGACTAAGGCTTAATTTCTTAGATTTTTCCGAAATTTACCTTTGTAATCTTGACTTTGTAGCGCAATAGCCCGTACAAGTAAGACTATGTAACAAGTTTAGACAAGTAGTGCCACATCTTACAAACACCCTCCATTGTTTGTTAGTACTATCTAAGAATTTGTATGATCAGTGAGTGAATAAAAGTGCATAAAATACCGAAACGAAAGTGTAACTCTTTAACAACCGCTGAGAAATGAAAGTTATTAATGTATTATGATTGTGGAAAGTCGCGTGATGCGACGTGCACGCAGTATTAATTACCAAGGAATCTCTTTTAGAATTATTTCAAATAATACATACTGTAATATGAAAATTGCCACTTCTTTCTAATAAAAAAGGGCCACATTTTAACCACTACTACGTACATGGCTAAGAATAGAATAAGCTTAAATAAGTATCTAGATAGATAATCTTAATGGAATCACAGATATTTGTACTTACTAACTAAACCGCCATCTAGTTGCAGAGCTTGTACTTTGAAAGTTAGACTGACTGATAAAATACTCATATACTTTTTTTTGTAAATACATTGTAATTACATTATATATAGAAAACATCCAAACTCCGGAACAAATATTTGCAGAACATAAAAAAAAAAAAACATTAAGACCGACCCGGGAGTCGAACTCGAGGGATGTGCACAGCCGTCGCATACGCTACCACCGCGGCACTCTATGTAATATTTGTGAAAATGGATTCATTTTAGTATCTCACCACCTGACGACCCATTCAAAAAGTCAAAATGTTCTACCTTTTGCAGTACATGATAAAACAAAAACATCATAAAATACGATGGGCCTACTACTACTTAGCAATCGTACCTTAAATACCTAAATTCTTCTTCACTCTTTCTCCATTACTGGAAGTAAGTAGGACATCAAGAGTTGACTTGACTGCACGGATGGTATAGTGGTTTAAGCGGTCGCCACGCCACTTCCTACTACGTCGAGTGTTGTGGGTTCAAACCCCACATGGGACGACACTTTGTGTGATGTACAAATTGCTGTTTTGAGTCTGGGTGTTCTTAGTGTCCGTTTCATGTATGTTTGTAAAGTCCCCCGCGACACAGGATGTATTCCTAAGGCGGGAGTTGTCTTTAAAAAAAAAGAAAATAAAAGTTAGTACAACTATATACACATATATCACACTATAATATTATAAAGGCGAAAGTTTGTAAGTGTGTATTTGTATGTTTGTTACTTCTTCACACTCAAACGGTTAAACAAATTTTAAGACTTCAAAAAAGGAGGAGGTTCTATGTTCCACTGTATGTATTTTTTTTTTCGTAAATTTAGTGTTCCGGTGGGACGAGCAAGGAATTGAAATTCACAAAATGTGACAAATTACGGGGCATAACTAATAAGAAAGTATTAATGTACTCTAATCTCCTTTAAAAAAAACTATAATTTTTCAGAGCTCATATGAAATTGCTACACAACGTTGCAACTAAACATTATATGCGGGCGACGGAGGTATATCATGCAAGCCCTTGCAAAGCTCCCGGCTTGTTCCTAGTCTCCAAGACTGATCCTATCGGAGCTGAGAAGAGAAGTAGACGAGCTGCGGCGTCTTGGGAACAACTAGGGATCAAGGTATTTTAAAGTTTTCGTCTGGATTTAGTATCTCATTTCTGTGCAGGTAGTTATTTCGAGTTCTAATCTTAGTAATCTTATCATGAGCGTCATGTGGTGTCGCTTCTATAATACAATATAAATCGTTGTAAAGATTAACGCGTGTGTAATAGTATAAAAAAGAAATTCAATTGAAATATAAACAACAAATATAAAAACATGACAATCGGAAGACTAAGCTAGCGTGTGTGCCGGCCTGTCTGCATCGACCATACAAAGACTGTTGAGTAAAATTCTTTAATCAGAATTAGGTGATATGACACGAGACTCGCCTGATTGTCACCGGATTTAAAGCAAATAGAGACAACGTCAAAAATTTGAGGGCCTAGTTTAAATCACAGCAAGTAAGTTGGTAGTGTAGTCCGCCGTGCATAAATAGGTTTCACGTCTGTAATCTTCTTTTTTATGACAGAGGGGGCAAACGCTAAGACCGGCCATCTGATGGAAAGTGACAACCGCCGCCTATGAACGCCTGCAACTCAGGAGTTACAAGCGCGTTGCTGCCTTTTTGGAAAGAGTACATTTTTTTCTTAAAGGTCCTATCGGTCCGGTCGTTAAGTAATCGTTAAGTAAAAAAAAATATTTGAATAGGTATATCGCACACTGGCTGTACTGCGTTTCATCGTTGACGACGAACTGCCCATACTGTAGTATTACGATTTATTTACTGCTACGGTAATATATTTACTATACCTAACCCGATAATTTCTTATGGTAGTGCAACTTCAAATGCTGGGACCGATCTCCCCATGTGCAACATTACTTGCGTCACCCAGAAGAATACAAGTCCGTATTGTACTCTCACCTTGAAGAATGTGGCGTCTTGAAGAACTCTCGCTGAACGGCTCCGTTTTTAAGGTGTCAGTGCAGGCTTTGCAGAGGCCAGGCAATAGGATAAGTACCTCTATATTTACGTCGTACATACTCTTGAGTCAGACATTAGAATATAAGAGTCAAAAGGTCCTATCGTTTTACTCGTACATTGTTTTCTTTGGGTTTGTGTGCACCAAAAGCATTTTTGTTTACGTCGCTGCGTTTAGCAGAAGTTACGTAACTTACATTACCTATGTGTAGGCTGAGTCTTTTCTGTTAAATAACCTAAATCTAGTTATCCTAGTACACTGCTTACATATTGTAAGTCTTACCAAAACGCCAAAATTCTCAAATTTCTTATAAGTATTGATGAAAGACTTTTTTTAACGCTGGGAATGCTTTTTGCACCATACTGTCCGTTGGGGAAACGGAGGACGTGTGTGGGACTCCTGGAGAACTGGTCTACCCACTAAACCCCGCGGCGGCCTATCTCGGCAGTCGGGAGGAGCTCTTGGAACGCATCGGCGGCTTCTAGAGGCCTCAGTGCCGTACCGTTACTCACGCTTGCGACACATCCCAGGGTGACCACGATCGCCCCTAGTGCGGGATGCTGCCGCGCCCCTCATCGCTCTACACAGTAAGAGGCGCAACAGCGCCTGGCCTAAGACGACACCCCCGGAGTGTCACCTAATCACTAATCACAATGTTTTTATGATGAGTCAGAAAGGAGATTGTGGAAAAAATTAGGCCTCTATTTTCAAATTTGACAGCAATGATACAAGGTGGCAAAGTTAAAATTCGGACATCGGAGGGACATCAATATTTATAGAATACACCCATAATTAATTTACTTATAGACGCAATGGCTGTGGTGTTTATACTTTTTATCAGATTTAGTGTTTTTTTACTTCTGAAGAAATAAAATAAAAGACTAAACAAATTACATTATGTAAATTTTATTTAAAACTAGCGATCTGACCCGGCTCCGCACGGGTGCAATGTAGATTTTACTAATACTAGGTGGTGTCAGTGTGGAGTAATTAATTATATTATATTATCTAATTATATTATTATTATGATAGGACTATACTACAGGATATCTTTAAATGCAATATTTATAGGCCCGCTCCGATCCTGAGCGCCGCTGCCATCCGCGACGGAGATACGGCGCTACGGTCGTTGGGCCGCCGCATTTTAAATCTCTGATATTTTCTAAAATATTATTTTTAATGATATCATCATCATCATCATCAACAACAGCCTTTAATAGTCCACTGCTGGACATATGCCTCTCCTTAGAAAGGAGGTTTTGGCCTACTATACCACGCTGGCCAGACGGGTTGGTATAGGGTTTGTGTCAAGTTTTCCTTCTCTCTGCAGTGCTGTTATCCTGCTTAATGTTAATGATATGAACAATTTTAATCTACATTAAATGCACAACGTATCTAACGTATTTACTTGGATAAGGAATAACAATGTATTGTTTAAAATAACTTCGTAAATAACTTATTATTTTATTGTAATATTTAAAAGATTAAAATGATTACTGTGGGTTATCTTTAGGAGATATACATATACCATGGGATTTTCTCTGCTATAATATGCATGTAGTATACATATAAACCTTCCTTTTGGATCAGTCTCTCTATTGGTGAAAACCGCATTAAAATCCGTTCGTAAAATCACTCGACGAAATCGACTTTATTTTAATACTATGTACCTAAAGATGTTCCAGTATCATCTGGTAAACACTTTAGTGTTTACCATACCACACCATAAATAACAAATAATCAGAGATGAGACTGGACGATGTGCAATGAAATGATACTTAATAATATTTTGGTAAACATGTTATAACATCTTTTTTGTAGTTTGTGTAGTTCTGGGAACAAAGTCCAGGAGTAGTCTTTCACTGTCATGAGTGTTGCATGGGAATATATCTTTTATCTTCTTAAATAAACAAGGATTACTTTTAAAGGTAGTATTTCAAATTTTCTAAAATAATGTTTACATGATTCATAAGAAGAAACGCCTTTCCTTGTTGAGAAGTTCATTTGAAAAGCTGCTATTGTAGTCTATGGAACTCATTTTGTTCTTCATTTATAAAATTACCTAAACCTATTCAGAACCCATTCAAAAACTCATAATGGGCCTATAATTACTCAAGTTTGTCGTCTTTTTTTGTATAGTGGCTTGGCTATGGATATATTTATTTTACCATGTACATACGTGGTAAAATCATAAAACAATTTACAAGAAAATATTCATATGGTAGGCATACTAAAACATTACCCTATATCTGGTTACATTTTCGTTACACAAGTAGCGAGATGCCTAAATTCTACACCAATCAATATTTAATTTTTGATGCTAAATAAATGACGATTAGAATTTAATTTTATTAAACTTTCAGTAAAGCAGATTCTCTGAAACAATATCAATAATGAGCCCCACTGCAACCACAGAGTAATCATCATCAGCCAATCGCAGTCCACTGCCTGGACATAGGCCTCTCCCCTTTAAACGAACGTAGTGTAAGACGCCCAAAGGCCAAGTGGAGTGACGATTAGCGCAAAATGATTGGCAGGAATTGGATGCGAGAAGCCGAAAATCATCAAAGTGGCGTGCAATGAGAGAGGCCTTCCATCCACAGAGTACCTACTCTTTAAATAATAACATTATTATCAACATTGAGTTAAAACAACACTAGAGAAGCAAACCTCATTATCACACGTCGAAAAAAGTGTAACCACTTTTGAACTTTGACGACGTAGCTTTGATACCACTAAACATTTGAAAGTAAACATATTTATGTCTCATTTACACGCGAGACAAGAACAATACCATCGCTCGGATTAGACAAAGACAAAGATATAACTTCACGATGGTGGGCCAGTGTTGACTACCGTATGAAATTTTACCCATAACAACTAAGAAACAATTTTTTTTAAAACAATTTTGTAATAAAATAAATTAATTTAAATATTCTAAATAATATATTTCGAATTGAATAGAATAGGTATAAATAATAAAATAACTGGAAATATTTGGTCAAAAGGGTTTATATTCAGTGTAAAATCAAACTGCGCTGTGAAGCATCAGTTTTGTATACAATGGTCTTTTAGACTCTTTTTTATAAGTTTGTGTGGATATTTTACTTTCATGATACAATCTTATTTTTACGTATGTAAAAATAATAGCATTTAATAATAAAAGTAAATGATCAACTTGTACTGATAATAAATAATCCCCAGGGTGTATTGCAAATTCTATTATAATTTAAAAAACAAATAAAAAAAAAAAATATTTTTTAAATTTATATTTTATATTTTTTTTTATTTATGTTTATTTACTTTTTTATTTTATATTTTTATTTTTTATTTTTATGATAAACATTTTTTTTTATTATTATTATTATTTTGTACAATTATTATTTCAAATTGATAATAAATTAAGAAAAACAATGAATTAATTCTTTTGTACAAAAGTCTCCAGCACTGCGAGCTTGGCACTTCTCCCAAGCGTTCAACGGGTCCCTAAAAAAAGTGATCGGTCCAGCCCCAACAACTACCGTTCTTCCTATATTTTATTATTATTGGCAAAATGTTTAAAAACAGTATGAAGCATATTATTTCATAAATTATAAATTCTCCCACTAATGTGGGTAAACCAAAATGATTTTTTAATGGTAACACTGATTCTAAATTACAATTATCAGTGTTTTATTTCAATTATAGCCTTATTTACGATATTATCAATACAAAAACCATTAACTTACACGTGAAAAGTAATTCCGCATGATTTATTAATGTTTTGTGACCTTGAATCGCATTCTTTCACTACGCATTTAGCCATTTTGGCGATTGTTACTGTCATGTGTCGCTATGTTCAACTCTGTTGACGCCACATTGAATACTGAATTGACGTTTGCTACGCATATGCCTGTGGACAGATGTGCAGTAGCAACGATTTTAGGCGGTAATTACTCATCTATGTAAGTATTATATCAATGATTATCAATATGTATCTGCTTACTTGCTGACAGCTACAACTTCAAGCGAGTGTGACCATTGTCTATGAGTGGAATCTACCACTAATAATTTTACAACTGATAACAAAAATGTAGGTATAAGGTTAATTTATAATTCAGTTTTCAGTACAAATTTAAAATAAGAGCAATAACATAGCTAAGTATGAATAATAATAATTGATGATTAATTCGTTGATGAAATTAATCATCAATTATTCATCGTGCTTAAAAAGTCTAGAAATCTGAAGGCAAAAGTTAAAAAGTAAACAAAGTCAAACTATTTCAACTTTTAACTCCTAATGATTCCTTAGATACCTATGAAATGAACAAAGAAGGATTTGTCAAGATGCTGAAATTAATCTCTTCAAAATTTTAACATGGGTTTTCTAGATGAACTTTCTTTCTTAATTACAGCTAGAGTTCATGCATTCTATAGGATACAGTATACATTGGACAGTGTTGGGCCAGGCTTCGCAATGCGCAAATGTAGGCGAACAACGCATAGGTGTTCACACATTGGTGCAGCCTTGATATTTTTAGTAGAAAAAAAAGTAACAAAAATCAGCTGCTCTTTGTCAAATTAGGATTGACAATATTGACATTCATTGACATATACAAAACAAAAATAACTTAAAACCGTGTAATTAAAGGTTTATTACTATTTTAGCAAAAATGAACCCTCTTCAATTATTTAGGATGTGTAATAAGTTACTAATACCCCAGATAATTTCTCGAGGACATGGCTTTAAAGTGGTAAAACGTCCTGATCCCAAAACACTGAAAATGCCTGCACCGGGCACTGCGCCAAGTATAATGGTGATTTTAAAAGAGAAAATTAGATTAAGTGGTCCTATAAGTGTTGCTGATTATATGCACATAGTTGCCACAAATCCCACTGAAGGCTATTACATGAAAAAGGAAGTCATTGGTCATGCTGGTGATTTTATTACATCTCCAGAAATAAGTCAACTATTCGGTGAAATATTAGGCGTGTGGTTCTATGCTGAGACTCAGAAAATGGGCTCTGGAAAGCCACTGCAGATAGTAGAACTAGGCCCAGGAAAAGGTACTTTATTATCGGATATATTAAGGGTAAGTCTTAATAATCAAGTTTAACCCTAAAGTGATACAGTGCACTGACTACTATAGTAACTGCTATATTACTTACTTTGAACATTGTTATTTAGGTACTCCATAATCGTAACTACCAAGCTTCAGATTTGAGTCTCCATCTTGTAGAAATCTCTTCAACTATGCAGTCTGTGCAAGCTAATAGACTCTGCATTTCCCATAGAGAAGTGGAACTTGGTTTACCACATAATTATGAGGTAAGGATTCTGGTTTTTATTATGATTATGGATTTCAGCCTGCTTACATACCTCATGAACTTCCTCTACTATTCATCTTCTTATCTTAATTATAAATAATAATAGCTTGACACATCACAAGACTGCTGATAAATATACTATACCTATTTCTAAATACATACATAGTATAGATAGATAACAGACACAGAACCAATGATATGTTCATCACACTATTATATACCCACAAGTTTTCCATACTTCTGATGAGTGTTCAGAGTTAACCATGCCAAACATATTCTACATGGTTAACTGAACCTGTTATACCATCCATGTTTGTGTTATATAGGTACTTGCTTTGGCACACATTCTTAATTATAGGATTCAAACTAACAGGAGTTTATGGCCTTGTTAGCACGGCAATTGAAAATCTCACACCATCCCTGACAGTGGTGTCTACCGCTACCCCTAGATAGGAGTAGGTCGTAGGCTGTGTTTTGGCTTTGGTCTTGTTTTGGAGGGGTTGCTTAGCATGGGCATACCCAGCATCTACTTAGGGGTCGGGCAAAATTAAGAAATGTAGATAAATTGTTGGCATTCAATATACTATTTACTTCTAAGCTTATTTCTATAAAGTACTAAAATACCTTTCGATTTTAGTTCTAACTTGACTATTATTTTTATTTTTAATGAAAATGTACAGAATACTTTTTTGTTTTGATGCCTTTCCGAAGACACTGAGAGTTTTGAGAGTATCATTGTACATCCAGAAATTTGTGATTGCAAAGCTTCAGACACCCTTCAAGCACCTCTCCGGACTGGGCCCGGATCTGACAGATAATCAGTACGGATTCTAGATATATTATTATTATTGGCCAATGTTGCCTATAAACACTGAGATTATAGTTATTAACACACTATCTATCATTATATTGAGTTAGATGTCTGAAATATTATTATTATTATTTCTGGTAATCAGTACTGGTGTGTTGTAGTCTTTTGGATAATTTAAAATTAGGTGTGAATGGCTCAGTGAAGATTCTGAATTTAGAAAATTACTCATTTCTATTGTAGTTTTTGTTTGCAATAGTAACTGAAAACCTTGTATTTGTGTTGGTACTTTATCCAAAGAATTACAGGATAATATGTTTCAATTTCAGGGTGAGACAGTAAGTGGAATCAAGGTATATTGGTACAATGACCTAAGTAAGGTCCCCAAAAATTTTTCATGGTATATTGCACATGAATTCTTTGATGTTCTACCAATCCACAAATTCGAAGTAAGTCTAATACTGTGTATAATTTTTATTTTGATTTAGGAAAGATTAGAGATTAGCATACATTAAGTTTTACTTAAAGGATGGGAGAGCATGCTGTCTTCTGGGTTCTGATCAGCTTTCGGCCACCTACCTGCATTCAATCGCATTGTTACCATCGTTTGGAAAGCTTTTAGAACGTCTTGTAGTGCCCCGTCTTCAGCCAGGTGGACTTAAATTTCATGATAGACAATTTGGATTTACGTTGGGGAAATCGACAATTGATGCGGTTATATCGGTTAGGAAGTTGTATCACAAATTTCAATACGTGTTGACTATTTTCGCAGATATATCTGGCTCCTTCGACAACGCATGGTCGCCCATGCTGTTGTCGAAGACGCCAGATGATATTAAAATTACGAGGGTGCTTTAAAAATATTTATTCCGTTATCTCTTCGTACTTTTCCCAAGGCACAACTAAACTGATTTGGTCATCATTCTGTGTCGAAGGCGCTCGGGGATCGGTACTGGGTCCATACATGTGGAATATCGGCTTCGACGATTTTCTTGCGATACCAATACCATCCGGATGTACCTACTCTGAACGCGTATGCTGATGACGGTTTATTACTGGTGGAATCTGATAGTAGGGCGGCGCTTGACAGATTAGCTAATAGATGTTTGAACTTGATATCTCATTGGGGTGAACGTAATCGCTTAACAATTGCACCCAAAAAAACCTTCCAGCTACTTTTAAAAGGTAACCTCAAGTCACCTCCGAGCAATAAATTTGACAATGTCACCGTAAAAAATAAAACCTCAATGTGTTATTTAGGATTAGTTTTAGAAATAAACTTTTCATTTATCAAACATATTAAAATAGTTCATGAAAAGTCTAAAAAGAGTTTCTGTGCATTGACAAGGATATCAACTGCGACATGGGGTCTATCATTTAATACACTAAAGCTCATATAAGGAGCTACGTATTTAGGTTCTATGTGCTATGGTGCACCTGTATGGGCCGATAGGGCGACTGTAGGCGCTGTCCATCGCAAACTGTTACAAGGCCAACGACTTGCACTGTTATTCTTGTGCATGGCATATAGGACGGTTAGCACTGAGGTTTTGCCGGTGCTGGCGGGTGCGCTTCCGGCCGATTTCGAGGTGCAGAGATGTGCCATGTACTATTCAAGACAACAAAACTTGGAATGCGATTTTTTTAGCCCACGAGTTCGCGATAAAATTACAAGATTGCTTTAACAGAAGTCCGATGTCTATAATGACCTCATAGACGAATGCCGACAACGCTGGAGAACGAATCATCTAAGGGGCGCCACCTTTACCATTTCTTTCCATCTGTTCGTTAACGGTTGTCGAGAACATGGCTTGAGATGGATCACTGTGTCGCTCAATTTCTTACAGGACATGGTAACTTTAAGAGCAAGCTGTATTCATTTAAATTAGTCGAGTCACCATTGTGTCAATGTCAACACCTACCTCTAACTGTGAACAGTCTGCTCATCATATCCTCTGGGAATGCAGGCTTTGGTATAATGAACGTAATATAATGCTGAATAGCTTGCAGGTGACATCTGTGGAGGTATACTATGGGGATCTTGTGTCAACTAGGGTGAATTTGTCAGGGTGTAACCTTTTAAACAGGGAAGCATGCCTGTGGTGTATGCCTATTTTACTTCTTTTTGTCTCCCGCTTTGCTAAGGAGGGAAGTGGATTTACTGTATTGGAACCCGCAACGAAATTAGTTGCGGGTTCCAAGACAGTTTAATTTTTTCCTGGGTCTTCCCGAGTGTCACCGCTGTTGATCCTGGTGTACAGGAGTTACAGTGGTGGATGTGTGGGGGGGATTAGTCCCATATAAAAAAAAACTTAGGATGCTTGATTTCTTTCAGAAAACTGATAATGGTTGGCGGGAACTTCTTATAGATATAGATGGACAAGGCAACTTGTACTACAGAATAGCTGCTGAAGCCAACAATGCCGTCAGGACTCTGGTCATTCCGCCGTTAGATGCAGGTGATAAAACGGAATTGGAGATCAGTGCGAAGTCCCTAAGTATTGCGAAGCAATTGGCTCATAGAGTAGACATGTATGGAGGTATTGCACTCATTGCTGATTATGGCCATGAGGGAGAAAAGGGTGATACCTTTAGAGTGAGTGTTTTTTTTCTTTATTTAAGACAAGGGGTTTTTGTATGTAGAAATAACAATATCAATCCCATAGTACCGTATTCAAAGCTAACTACTACATCAAGTATATTCATGACGTTGTAAAGTATGAAAAAATGATTTACCGTTTTCTAGGACATGTTCTTAATGCCTGTGCACTACACCTGCGTACTGCGACTGTAGTTATCTTATTGAAGCAAGTTCCTTAAACACAACCTTTACAATGTATTATCACTTGCAACTACATTTTTACTACTAAAAGAAATGTCTAATAAATAAGCAAGAGACCTTTCTCATCTGGCGACTTTCTCACATCTTTGTGTCTAAATTCCCATGAGGTTAAAAAAATAATATAAATGACCTTTAAACTTTAGTCGTAACGTGTCAAAATCAATTGAATCAATATAAAGGATCCGGACCTTTAACTGACCACAGATTAGAATTTAGATTAATTGGATAACTTTCAAAAAACGCACTTTACTGTACCTTGATAATATATGTATTTGAAGGTTCATTAATAACGCAATTTTGCATTAATTTGACTGCTGTCTTGACTAACCAGTTTGGCCGTACTAGGCAAAACAAATTGTACCAATTATCACAAATTCTTGTGTATGAATTTAAAAAAATATTGATAACTGATATTTATTTCTATTTAAATCAAGGCCTTCCACAAGCATCAAGTAGTGAATCCTCTAGAAAAACCAGGCCTGTGCGATCTCACTGCTGACGTGGACTTTGCTCAATTAAGGGTAGCTGCTGCCAAGATGCCAACTATGGATAACTACGCATTAGTCATGGGCCCTATAAAACAAGCTGATTTCTTGAAGAGATGTCAAGCAGAAGTTAGATTAGAGGTAAGTTAAATATACGAAAACTAATTGGAGCATAGGCTGCCTAATTGTTTAGTTTAGTAAGCTTACATTTAACAACATTTTTTATTCATATCTATGTGTTCATACACTTCATCTATGTATATATACACACATCAAAAAAGTCTAAGCAACATGTACGGTTTTAAACTTTTAAACGATTTTTTCTATTGTATTATATTTGTATTTCTTTTATAAATAATATAATACCTAAGCATTCTTTGATGGATTAGTGACTCAAGCAACAAAATCCTTTATTCAATTGTTCATTTAATCATAATAATTAACAATATGTGTACCGTAATATGCGTAGTAGGTATAAAATAAAGTTAAAACAAAATTAAAATTTTCATGATTTACAAAATTAAATAACGACATTTTTTTTAATTATTTGGTAATTCAGTACAAAATGTGACCGGCTCTGTTGTTTAAAACTTGTCCGCAATGATTTTTCAATAAATTTAGAAGATTGTTTATCTGATCCTGCGGCAATCGCGCCCAATAGACAAGTCAATAACAAGCCTTTTTGTTGGATTGTCAACACTTAAGACTGTTCCGTACCGATTGAGCTTAAATTTTGACACGAAATACAACACACTTCAAAGATTGTTTTTATCTATTTTTCGAGTCAGTTTTGTTCATCAATTCTCATCAATGAAACCACAATGTACAACAACGAAGCGTGGCAGGGTCTTCGCTGTGTACTGACAGTATAATTGTAGCGTACATCATATCATATCAACAGCCTTTAATAGTCCACTGCTTGACATAGGCCTCTCCTTTATGTCAAGTTTTCCTTCCCTTTGCAGTACTGTTGTCCTGGTAGTTTGCTTCCTTAGTCAGCCCTTACGACACCCACGGGATGAATAGAGGTGGTGACACTATATTCTTAATCCGTCATCATATGGAATGTACACATTACTAGCTAGTAAATATTAGACTAGCTGTAGTAATAGAATTGTTAGCTGTACTGATAATTGTATTTTTCAGGTTTTGATGCAGAATGCTAAAAGTGAAGAAGAGAAAGAAAAAATTAAAATGTGCTATGATATGCTAGTCGATCCTGAGAAGATGGGTGAAAGGTTTAAGTTTATGGCGTTTTATCCATCGAGCATGGAGCAAATTTTAAATAAAAATCCACCACTAGGGTTTTCAACGCCATAAATGTTGTGTTAGTAAAATTAGTTGTTTGTTATTTAGATATCTATATTTTATAGATGCAATATAAATAATTTATTTGAAATTTTTATCTTTTTCATTACAAAATTGTTGCCCAATATCCCACGTAATTATTTTAAATCTAAATCAAAATATAGAATAAACTAACTTGTGCTCCCTGCAATGTATAGAATTTTACGTAAATATCTATTGTAGCAGTTGCGATAAGTTACCGTTTTATAGCTCTCAATAATAGCCAGTTCCAGTTACAGATATGCGACCCTGGCTTTCTAAAGCCATTAGCGTATACTTACTATCCCAAATCCATACTTATATTATAAATGCCTGCAAATACTAATATTATAAATAAAGTGTGTCAGTCTGTCTTTCTGTCTGTCTGTTATATTCACGCTGAAACCGCTGAACCGATTTAGGTGAAATTTGGTATGGAGATACTTTAATTATTGAGGCAAGACATATTATACTTTTTACCGCGATAACCGCGGAGTAGCGGGCAAAAGCTAGTTGTTTAAATTTGCTCATATAAGCAATATCCTTTTTCTTCAATTTATTTGCTTTTTTTCAACCGTAACCATTACCGTATTCTGCTAATTTCACCATCTTCAATTTGCAAAGAGCCCAGTTGACGTCATTAAATTTGTCTGCGTCATTAAGTCGACGTCGAAGTGATGTCATTAATTCTAATTCCAATAGTTGTATGGTACGCCTGTGCTTACCCTTTAGGGGATACAGACGTCCGTATGTTATAGCGCCTAACGAATCTTATATCAGTGAAACCATCCTATATTTATTGCAGTTTGTGCGTAGCCCTGTTGCTTATATTCATTCATGTTAAGCCATAATCCACTTTGATTCTCCTTAATCTAGTACCATTAACTGAAATAAAAATATAAAAGTATGCATGTCAACGTAGTGATTACCTGCACATACCAAAAAGGTAAATGTTTGGCCAAGACTACACTAGTTCTGGACTACTGTGTATCCCGTTGCATCCATCTGAATAAAGAAATAATTGGACAACTGACTTACAGATGCAATATAAATAATTTAATTTGAAAATTTCATTACTTAATTATTTCCCAATATCCTTTATAATTATTGCCTAAAAAAGGCAATAGATTCACCACTTTAGGTACTTTCTTATAATATTCAATTTTTCATTTCATTGACTTTAAATATTGGTGGCATAATTTATAATCAAGTTCCGAAATTGATACCGAATTTGAAACTTCTTTCACTTTGTGAATGGTGTTGTGTTTCCTGATGTAATGAAACATAGTAAACTTTATTATTTAAATCGGGCAGAACTGCTGACCCTACTAACTTCTGCTAAATGTAAGCATTTAACACGAGGTGAGTTGAAATAGCAGTTTGGTTTTACGAGGCGTCGCTCTACTACCGATGCCGGTGTTGAGCTTGTATAAAATATATTAGATGTCTGGAAGGAGTCCGTGATGCTTTGATGCGTGTATGATGAGACTGGCGAAAAAGGTACATCACTATAGAGTTAGAGGATCTGCTTCAAATTTGTTAAAATCATACCTACATGGTAGAGTCCATGAGAGATCAGGACGGGAAGAGATCACTGGTGTCATTGGTTGTAATGGGTGTCCCACAAGGCTCAATACCGGGGCCTCCTCCTTCTCCTTGCTCGTGTGTATAAATAATAATCTTTCCTCATAAAGGACGGACGATATAATGTTGTTTGCTGATGACTTCATTATTTTTTTTAATGAAAAGACAAAAAACTATAGCGATGTAAACAATGCTGTATCAAAAGTTTTTAATTGGTTTAATGTAAATAACTTTTTATTAACCGAGAAAAAACTAAATGAATTAAGTTTTTGATTTATTATGTTAAGCAAACTAAATCAAATGTAGGTAATTATTAAGGATGAATAAATGGACTGGTTACTACTACGGTCTTTTTGGTTATAAGTTTAGATAATAAACTACAGTGGAGTCATCATTTAGCTAATCTCTTGAATAGACCCAGTTTGGTAGCTTTCGCAGTATATTATGAAAATAACTGATCGTTTGCCCCCTCTTCTCTTCCATAAAAAAATAATAAAAAATCCGTCAGTTGACGGATATAGAAATGGTCAGATCAGTTTATTTTAGTTATTTTCATAGTGTTATGTCTTATGGTATTTTATTTTGGGGCATTGTAGCCGACTTAAATACTATTTTTGTACTGCAGAAGAGTTGCTCGCTTGCTTGAGTATAAAACGGTTCCAAAAGAGTTGTTTAGAGTACTTAAACTTGCGACCGTAAATAGTCTCTTTTTTTAGATAATAAGTAAAATAATTTAAAATAAATGGTTCACTAATTATAAATAACATACATTTGTTGTAGATTGAACACGTGTCTCGGGCGAAGAAGTACTGACAAACAATTTTATCAATATAAATGTACATAACTACAATTTAATAATAACATTTTAATAGCCTACATAAACAACTAGCAGTATCCATAATAAGTGGTTCAAAAATAATGCACTAAGACCTTTTGCATTTTTTATATTTACATATTTTAAGTAACTGCTCAGTTTGCTCATACGACAAAAGGGGTTTGAGTAACTTTGTATGGACTTGTGGCGTCTTTTTATTTCAGCGGCCACCAATAATTTTGAGAAGAAACATAAATGTTCAATTAATTTTGTACGAAGTGATATCGGTGCTGTGATATTTGCATTTAAAGATTTAGAAAATGTCATCAATATATAAGAAAATGTCATAATATTTCAATTAATGTTCTTCTTCTTCTTCTTATTATATGGCAAACTGTGCCGATGTCGACAATTCTGCCAATGTCAAGTGCGATGGAAATACGTGGGTTAAGAGAAATACATAAGAGAAAAGGAATTTGCAACCATTAAGTTTTCCAAAATTAGCAGGTGGACTGCATATGGGTCTTTTGATTGTGGTTAGTACACTGAAACAAACAGACAAATACGAATAAATAAAGTATGTATGTAATATATAAAGAGATAATTAGTAGACAAACACAAATAAACATCACAACATTAAATTAGGTACACAGGTCAAAGTTTGATGCCATTGCAGCGGATGAAAAACATCAAGGCTTGTAAAAGTTTTGGGGAGGAAAAGGTAAGTAGGGATGCAAAGTTAATAGGGAGGGGGATTTTCAATTTAGTTAGGTATGAATAAAGGTCTAAGGATGGATTATTTTTACTACAATTAAAGAAGATGTGGTCCAGGTTGCCTTCATCCAGGCCACACTCGCATAGAGACGAGTCCCGTACCCGAATTTTATTCAAGAAGACAGGTGAGCTGCAGTGGCCAATACGAAGCCTACATATGGTGGAGACAACTTGTTTGGACACCTTTTTAAAATTAAAAAACCAAGGCTTCGGAGGAATGCGTGGCTGTACTGAAAAATAGTACCGGCCTTTAAATTGTGCGGACCTGTTCCATTCCGCCTGCCAGGATGTCCTCAACTCTCTTTGAGGCAGTCTTAGGAGGTCGTAGTGATGGTGAACCATATGTTTCTGGTCTGCCATTGAGGAAGTAGCAGCACTTCTGGCTAACGAGTCTGCACACTCATTGCCCATAATGCCACTATGGCTGGGAACCCATACCAACTGGACCAATTTGTCACTATTGGAGCAATTGAAGAGGCTTTTTTTGATTTCTAAGATCAAGGGGCTATGGAGTTTGCTATGGAATGGATCTTTTAGCAGGGCTTTAAGACAGCTAAGAGAATCAGTAAATATAGCAGCCTTATAGATGTTGTGCGATTCAACATATAGGCATGCCTCCAATACCGCGACACACTCGCCCGTAAATACAGAAGACTCTTCTGGGCACTTAAACTGCAAAATGATTTTGGAGTTTTGGTAGTACACCGCAGCTCCAGTGTAACTATCGCTTGACAGTTTGGATGCGTCTGTAAAAAACCTCTCAAACCCTACCAAGTGGTCATCCACGTAAGCGTTAAAGGTGGAAACAGCCGAGGCAGATCCCTTAGGAATTCCCACATCCAAGAACACATTCGGCTTAAAACTAAGTATACTGTATTCAAATGAAAAAAGAGGAAGTTTGTCAAATTTTACCGTTAAATTCGTAAAGGGAAAGTAGTAGCGAAAGGATTGCAGAATCAATGGAATTTCTTTATGTGCCCAGTACTTAGAGGTATTGCAAGTTATGTCTAAGTCAGTAATTTTTGGAAGAAGAGGGTGGGTCAATTTACAAATAAATTTCAAAACAAAGCATGAAGCAAAATATTGTCTTCTTAATTTTAGAGGTGGATCTGAGCATTCAGCCTGTAATGCGTTAATGGGGGATGACTTCATGCAACCAGTAATAATTCTAAGACACCTAGATTGGATCCTATCCAGAGTTGTTAATGCGCCTTTATTGCATGGAACCAGTAGGAAAACACCGTAGTCCAATATGCTGCGCACTAAGGCATTGTACACTAGCTTCATGGTGTATGGATGGGCTCCCCACCAAACTCCGGCCAGGGCCTTTAAAATTGGAATAGTTCGTTCACATTTTGAGGCTAGATGGTTAATGTGGTGAACGCCAGTCAACTTAGAATCTAAATATACCCCGAGGAATTTAAATTTATTAACGAGAGGAATTTCCTGCAGCTGTACTTTGACATCAATCTGTGGCAGAGTCTTCTTTCCGGTAAAGACAACGACTGCGCTCTTCTGTGCAGAGAGGCTAAGGCCGTGGGATGATAGCCACCGCCACAGAGAATTAAGGGAGGTTGTGAGCGATGTTGCTGCATCTTGGATGGAATGGCTGGTTACATACAATGCCAGATCGTCGGCGTATTGTAGTATACTGCAATCATTGTTTAAACATGAACCCATATCTGCAGTGTACAGGTTGTACAATAGAGGACTCAGTACAGAGCCCTGTGGCAAGCCCCTCCACGTCTTTCTCTGGTCGAACTCCTCTCCCAAGATCCTTAGGACTAGAGTTCGAGACACAAGCATTGCACATATGCAATGG